TCTGCTGTCTGAACTTGAGCATTATGATTTATCTCTAAATGTCTTTGTTAGAAGTAGAGGAATAATGTTAGGTTTTTGAGCCCCGAGGGATCTAGCAATTGAATTCCATGAAAATATGTGAAAGGTCCTTAGTGGTAGAATCAGGACCGTAGCCTATTTCCTGACTCACTGTTGAGACAGGGTAAGTATTGGTCACATTTACTTGGGAACGGGTACCCTATTCAAGATCTTGACCTAAAAACGGGCTCCATTGTCTGTAAATTTGAATTGCTCATGCCATCTTCACCTGCTTTCATTGCCATAAATATTCAAGTTAGGTTGTATCTCACTGTCTCAACCTCTCCTGTTTTTGTGTACGTATCTTGAGGCACTGAAACTCTTTCAGCACGTATAAATTAGGAAACGGAATGGGGAAGATAGGTGCTTTCCTCTCTGCCTTCAGATTCCAGTGTTCTTTGCTGCTTAGTCTCCATGGGGTCACAGAAGCTGACAGTCATACATAGCTAAAATTTTGAAGTTTAGGGTGTTTTTATGTTCCTTTACTTCCCCTTTGTTTTGCCTTATGTCAGTGTTTTTTAGATGATCGATTATGAATAGGAAGATATTTTTAAAAGAAGGAACAAAGCTTATAAATACAAATACATATACTCATCACATTTTTCTTTAGTCCTCAATTTTTAGACAAATTTAATATCAGCATATTGAGTGATAATGCTTGGCCAAGATAAATATTTGATATACAAAAATGATAATACAGTGACCTTTTTTTGAGAATATCAGTTGTAGTTGTGTGCTACTTTGAAGTGGCATGACTTTTGAAGACTTTTTTCTTTTATAAAAGCAAAACTCTTTTGAAAACAGAAAATGTAGAAAAAATTTTAGATATTTAGTTTTATGTCTCTAAGATAGCCTCTATTAAAGAGTTTGGTATGTTTTCTCCATCTTTCAAAATAAGCATAGATTTGGTTGTTTTTTATCCTAGTTATAAATCCTTCTTTTTCCCACTTAATATATAATGAAATTTCTCTTATTGTTTACTTTGTCTGTATAAGTGGGATTTAAAAAGACTGCATTTAGATTTTTGCCTTCTATGAGGTAGATTTTCAGAAATGAAATCACTGAGTTAAAGAGTGAATGTTCAAAAAGAAAAAACAAGAAAAAGAGAGTGAATGTTCTTGACTCCTAAACACTTACTTAGTGATCAGGATTGCATTTGTCTTATTCCCCTGGCTTATTTCTAGTGTCAGGAATATTCTCGTGTGTTTCTGATAACTGATTTGTAATTTTAAAATACAACTTGTTAAGAAAGTATAAAATGGGAAAAAGTTTAGTATTTTTGTAAGATCGCTTTTCCTATAAAAGGGAGAAGTGGAATGTTTGTACCTTGTTATTTCTGAATTCTAATAATTACTGACTGACCATTAGTTTATTATAATGTGGATTAACATGACTGAAACAGTGCAACATCTGCTGGTTTATGTTCTTTTACACAGTGGAATTTGCCTGGTGAGAGGTGATAAGGTAGCAGGGGATGAGGAAACATGCAATAAATAGTCTGTGTATCTTTCCTTTAGTTGTGTACAGTAGTCCCTGCTTATCCGTGGGGGATACATTCCAAGACCCCCAGTGGATGCTGGAAACTGTGAATAGTACCAAACCCTATATATACTATGTTTTGTCCTATACACACATACCTATGATAAGGCTTAATTTATAAATTAGACATAGTAAGAGATAACAACAAGACCTAATAATAAAATAGAACAGTTATAACCATATATTGTAGTAAAAGTTACGTGAAGGTGGTGTCTGTCTGTCTGTCTCTCTCTCAAAATACTGTAATGTTTTCAGACTGGTTGACATCCAGTAACTAAAGCTACAGAAAGTGAAACTGCAGATTGGGGGAACTACTGTAATTCTGTTAACTTTGATAGCAGATTTTCACTATTAAGTATGCTGCTGACTATAAGCCTTTAAATCAAAATGTAATTTGTGAATTTATTATATTTAATGTATTATGGCATTGTGTTTATCTGTGATGGAAACTTTTAAAATTCTATTCTTTAAACTGTAGAACATATCCTGCACTAGAGACATTAACAGAACCTCACCAGCTCACAGCTACTTTAAGTTGTGTAATTGGAGTAGCCCGCAGTTTGGTATCAGGGGGCAGATGGTTTCCTGAAGGTCCAACACACATGCTACCTCTGTTGATGCGAGCATTGCCTGGGGTGGATCCAAATGACTTTAGTAAATGCATGGTAAGCACATTGATGATTTTTAAAAAAATTTTAAGTTACAATTATGTAAATAGACATCTTTTTAATTTCTATTCAGATACTCTTTAGAACATAGTTCAGTGTAGTCTATTGATAGTAACAGCAATTATATCTGTAGATGCCTAAGTTTAAATCTGTGAATGGTTGATATCTCACGCCTTCCTTTGTAAGTAATTTGCTATAACCTGTATACGTTTAATGATCATATGATGTTTTAAAGCTCATTATATATTTATTATTTTTCTTAAACAAGGATAGTAAAAATCATAACATGATCATTACTCTTCCCCTCATCTACACTGATGACAAGGGGATATGATGAAAAGTTACTGTTTATAAAACGCCAGACTCTACTTATACACATCTTCGGACTTACCACTTTGCTCATCTTCCCTTTCTTTGGTCTCCAGCTTTTCTGCATTAGCATTTTTAATTTGCCCTTAGTTAATGTTACATTTTTAGGTGGGAGGCAAATAACTTCTCTTGACAAAAGTTTTGCTTCAACTTCTTAAGTAACTGTATGAAAACAAATTTAGAATATTGTCATTACTAAAGTAACAGCCAGTTAATTATGAGGAAACTTAAATTGTTCAGTTGTATGTGAAGAATATCCAGAAAGATTGTTGTACGATCTCCCTCAAGATAATTTATGTGGGTAGTTTACTCTAGCTTGCAGTATGTTTGTACTTTTGAATTAGAATTATGTAATTAATGTTGAAAATCCTTTGCATCTTCCCATAGATCACATTCCAGTTTATAGCAACATTTTCTACTCTGGTGCCTTTAGTAGATTGTTCATCTGTACTACAAGAAAGAAATGACCTCACAGAAGTAAGGATGTTTTCTGGATATGAAGGGGTTAACCAATTGCTAATTCTTACTGCATATGCATAGTAGTATTTGATAGTTTAGAAATAACTTTAGATAAGGTCTATAAAGTAAAATTGCTATTTTGTGGCTAGAATGGTATAAATGGAGGGCCTGGTAGTCCGCAGAGCACCCACCATAGGAGGTGGGTCAAAAATAGGCCCTTTCTATAAGTAACTGACACCTGAGGGTATTTTTAAATTTTTTGTCATTTTTCAATGTTTTGTTAAGCAAAGTGATGGTGTTTTATTTTTCCATCATCTTATGTTAGTAATATTATGTTATTAATTATCAAATGTCCTATTTCCTTAAGCACTAAGTTTGACAGTTGATATCTCTGACATTTCGCTTGGAAGCTTGTTTTATTTTTATTGTGAGGGTGCATCCTTGGTCTTTCAAATGCATGCTGTAGCTTGTGATTATCTTTCAAATTTAGTTTTAGAGCAATTTTTGTGAAGCCATGGATAAATCAAAAATTTGTGTTATTTTCAAATATGAGTTCTGTTGTGGAACCAGTACAGCACAGACAGCTTGCAATATCAACAAAGTATTTGGGAAGGATGTGCCTAATGAACACATAGTGTGTTGATGGCTCAAGAAGTTTCATTCTGGTGATTTTAATCTTGAAAATGAGCCACATCGGCTACCTGAGACCAAGGTGAATAACAGTGAGCTAACAGCTGTAGTGGAAGCAAATCCGTCTCAACCCATGCGTGAATTAGCAGCAAGGGTTTTTTTTTGTTTTTTGGGGTTTTTTTTGGCCAGTCAAATTTAGCAGTGGGGGGTTGTATACCAACTTTAGTGGCACTAGCATTAATAAGTTCTGATAACCCATTACCATCGGACCAGCCTCACAGCAAGATTTGACATTACTATTCCAACAATATTGGATCATTTGAAACAGATCGGCAAGGTAAAGAAGCTGGATAGATGGATGAATTAAACAAGTGTCAGAAGAGAAATTGTCCCGAAGCTTACCTTTCTTTGCTGTCACACCATAAAGGAGAGCCATTTCTATACTGTATTGTTACGTGTGATGAAAAATGGATTCCTTTTGATAATCGCAAGTGTTCGGCACAAGGGTTAATAAAGATGAAGTGCCAAAACACAGTCCAAAACTGAATATTTAAAGCCAGTGGGGTCTGTTTGGTGTTCCAGTGCTGGTATTATTCACTACAGCTTCATGAAAACATGATCAATTGATTACAATGATGTCTACTGCAACCAGTTGGACTAAATGATGAGGATGCTTGCAATTAAGCAGCTGAGATTGGTCAATAGAGACAGGCAAGACAATGTCTTGCAAGACAGTGGTCGCACATGTTGCACAAACAACGCTGCTCAAACTGTAGAGGCTGGACTTGGAAACTCTCTGTCATCCACCACATTCACCAGATCTTGCAGCAACCACCACTTCTTCCAGGCTTTGGACCACTTCATGCAAGGAAAAATATTGAATTCTCAACAAGCTGTGGAAAATGCCTTTTGCGATTTCATCGCCTCTCGCCCTCCAGGCTTCTTCGCTGCTGGCATAAGCAAGCTACTGTTGGGATGGCAAAACCGTGTTGATAGGTTAGGCACATATACTTTGTTTAATTGTACTGCTTGTTTGAGATACGGTAAACTACACTTTTGATTTGAAATGGGACATTTCATATTTATGACCTTAATCCGTCCAGGGGGATCAACATCTAATGAAGAGACATTTTCCTTATTACTATATTCTTTCAGAACTCTCTTCTTTATTACAAGCATGTTGTTACTTGACTGTGTTATTTGGACATTCAAGTAGTGAGAGACTATCCTTTACATTTATCCCAGCAGTTTGAAAACTATAACATATAACAAAGATGCTGCTTAACTTCTGTTTTTGGCCCTTGTAAATATGTTAATTGTTTCTTATTTTCATTTGTAGAAGGTAGTAGATATGAGTTGTTCTAAACTGATAAATGTTTATGGTGCTGTTTCTCACAGTATCCAGTATAATAATTTACTGTTAGATTTATTTGGCAGGCAATGATTGAGTTTGGTTAGTTTGAAGAAAAAAACCAAAGGTTATTTATAATTTTTCTCCACATTGGGATGTTACAGGTGGAACGAGAACTTTGTTCAGCCACAGCTGAATTTGAGGATTTCGTCTTGCAGTTTATGGACAGGTGAGCTTGTAGCCCAGACCCAACCTTTAGCTGACATTCTGGAAAATGACTGTCCTATCCCAGAACCTTGGTTTCTCTCTTCATTGTAACCTTTATTTATCTATTACTGCTCCTTCTAAAGTTACAGAAGGATGATTGATTTGTGAGCCATGTACAAATTGAGTGGTTATCATAAGACAATAGAAACTTACCAAATCACCACAAAAAATGTTGAACCAGTTTTTAGTTGCTAAAATTATACTTTGTTTGGATTATTTAGATGCTTTGGACTTATAGAAAGTAGCACATTGGAGCAAACAAGAGAAGAGACAGAAACTGAGAAAATGACTCACTTGGAGAGTTTGGTCGAATTAGGTCTGTCTTCTACGTTTAGTACAATTCTCACCCAGTGTTCCAAAGAAATATTTATGGTAAGAGCATTGCTGTAAAAAACAAACTTCCAGTTTTTTTAGTTATATTTGATGTCTTAAAATTAAACTTTAAGTTACTTTTAAGTGTGCATATCATGCCAGTTTATCTTTATTATCCATATTAAACTTTTAAAAAGATGTACAGTCAATTCTCAATATTTACAGATTCCATATTTGCAAATCTACCTACTTGCCAAAATTTATTTATAACCCCCAAATCAGTGCTTTTATGAGGACATGCTCAGGGTGACAAAAAATGAGTTACCTAATGCACATGTTTCCAGCCAATGTCGAAAAAGCCGCTCTGCCTACTTACATCAGCAGTCTGTAAACAAGAGTTCTTTTTATGATCTATTTAGTGCCATGTTTTTTTTTGCATTTTCATGCTTTTTGTTGGTGACTTTGCTGTTTAAAAATGTCAAAAAAATGCCTGCAAGAGTTAATGCATAAGTGAAGTCTAGAGTTCCTAAGCATGAGAGGGTCATGCTGTGCCTAATGGAAAAAATACATGTGTTAGGTAAACTTTGTCAGGCATGAGTTATAGTATATTGACTTGAGTTCAATGTTAATGAATCAACAATATGTAGACAGAAACACATTTAGAACAGGATCGTGTATTGATCCCATTAATGAAAATATTGTGACCAAAGGCTCATAGGAACCTAATCCTATATTTCCCCTAGGAACAATAGTTCAGTATTTGCTAGTTCAGCGTTTATAGCAACGTTATAGAACATAACTACTGAGAATAACAAGAAGCAACTGTATTTTTAAAATTTACAATTAAAAATAATTACTCTGAAGGCCGGCCGTGGTGGCTAACGTCTATAATCCTAGCACTCTGGGAGGCTGAGGCAGGAGGATCTCTTGAGCTCAGGAGTTGGAGACCAGCCCGAGCCCTGAGCAAGAGCGAGACGCCATCCCTACTAAAAATAGAAAAGACTAGCCGGGTGTGATTCATGTTCCTATAGTGCCAGCTGCTCAGAAAGCTGAGGCAGGAGGATTGCTTGAACCCAGGAGTTTGAGGTTGCTGTGAGCTATGATGCTGCTGCTACACTCTAGCCAGGGCAACAGAATGAAACTCTGTCTTAAAAAAAAAAAAAAAAAAATTTTTTTTTTTACTCGAGAAATTTTGGAAATTGTTTATGCCATCACTATCATGATAGAAATAAAATCCTAAATATAACAATCTGGCTACCTGTGATGGATTAGAAATAATTGTCCTCATAAGACATTGATAAACATTCACTTATTTAATATTGGTTGGTACCTATTGTGTACAGTGTGGCCTTTAAGACTATACTCTATTTCCATTTCTGTTTCTTCTCCCTTCATCTGAAATTGTCCCTATTCGATATCATGGTTAAGAGCTAAACTCCCTTATGACTGTGCGAAATAAGATTATATTAGAATAAAGTAATGAATATAAGTCATGTTTAACCTAAAGGAATTGTTTACAATTTTCAGCTGTGTTAACTCAGGTTTAGAACTCATTGTTTCATTCAGCAAGTAAGTTAAAGTTCTGTGACATGATTGTACAATTAAGCAGATTGTTTCAAGTCTTTTAGGGTAGAGACCTATATTTATAGTTGATAGTTTGTAGTTGTCAGAATGAGAAATTGTCAGTATTAGATATTTGAAACAATTCCCTTCCTTATATGGGATTAGCCAACAAGATAATTAAGTTGTATTTGCTTCTATCAGCTGTAATTTTATGTGTAGAGTTTCTGTAACAAGTAAAATCTTGTACTTCAAATGTTTTGTTCGGTTAGAATCCCATGCAAAGATTGTTCTTAGACCTGAATGTAACATTATTAAGCAAATCCTCATAAAATCAGATGGTTAAAAATTGCGTACTTGGTCATTTTTGGAATAGTCTGAATATATTTATCATTTTCTTTTATGTTCATGAGATATTTAATTTTCTAAAAAATGCTGATTAGACATTTTGTTTCTTACATATCTTAACAGGTGGCCCTTCAGAAGGTTTTTAATTTTTCTATTTCACATATGTTTGAAACAAGAGTAGCAGGTCGCATGGTAGCAGACATGTGCCGCGCTGCTGTAAAGGTGAGTTTATGATGAAATTAATGACTCAGCAACCAGTAAGTGTATGTGGCTAATTATTTCAGAAGTGTTTGTTATACTTTAAATACATATTTCTTGGAGTAACTGCCTACAGCTTTTATTTGTGACTGAAAATAGTGCTACTATATATTTTGTGACTGTTAAATATTTGCCTTTCAAGAAAACATATTTATACAAATATTTTTCAGTGTTGCCCAGAAGAATCTTTGAAGCTATTTGTTCCCCACTGCTGCAGTATTATAACTCAGCTTACAATGAGTAAGTCATAAGGTCATTATTCTGTCTTTCCAATTTTAGATGAAATTTTTTCTTGGTTTCTAGAACTCTGTTAATGACAAGAGATTCTTTTAGCTATACAATATTTTAATTTTGCAGCTTTGACAGGAATTGTCCCCAAGAAAGATATCCAGGTTGGCAGGTAGCTTAGAAATTTTACTTTATCAAATTAATATTTTCATGCAACATCTGCCCAGAAGTTACCTTCAAAAATATCAGTTATTTTGTGAGATATAGAGGAACAGAAGTCTTGGTTGATGTATTTATTTTCTTGATAATTGAGTTCTCCCTTCTTTTGGAGCAAGTTTGGCTTCATGAACAAGAAATAAAAAATCTTCCTGAAAGAGACTTTCCTCAGCATTAGAAATATTAAATAAAAATATTAAAAAGTGATGTGTTTAGTTAAATGCATAGTTTTTTACCCCTGATATTATTTTGCCATTTTTAGATGATGATGTATTGAATGAAGAAGAGCTAGACAAGGAGTTACTATGGAATCTTCAACTTTTGTCTGAGGTATTGTAAATCTTTGGAATAAGAAACTATTACTATGAAAATGTTGACTTGCATTTAGGATTTAGCCCTTTCTGACAAATTGACTTTAAAACATATTGAAAAGTCAGAAATTTTAGAAATTTCTTGATGTGTGGCTTGAGAAAGAACGTCTCATATTCTCTCCTTGTCAAAGGAGTGTGGCAAATTATTGATTACTGCATGTTCAGCAATCTACTTGACTGAATTTTTACAGATAAATTCTAATATAGGTAACTAATTAATTTAAAAAGCTTATCAGATTTGGGAATTTTTTTCTCTACATTTTAAATTTGGCCATCAATCAAACTTAACTTTTCTTTATGAGTTAGTTCAGAAATTTAATTAAATTTGTCTCTTTAAAGAGATAGACTTTTT